CACTTGGCTAGGCTCGACGCCTCAGGAAAGCCTCCAAATGTTGCTAGCACTTAGTCAGGCTAACGTCCTAACAAGAACAACCCAAGTCTGATTAAACTCACGGATCCCGCCGGGGCCTCCTAGCTTAGTTAGCTAGGGCGTTGGCTGTACTATGGCCTTCGCCTTGCTGGTGTGGGTTCGAATCCCACTTAGAACGCCGATTTTTTCACAATTGGGTCGGATGAAAAGAGGGGGTTACTTCCCCCAACTGGGAAATAATAAACCAAACAGAGCTATTTTATGCATTTTAAACCCAGAGGGCTTATATAGCCTATCCTTAGCGCCATTAATCTCTGCTATTTGTGAAGTGGACAAGGGGCGCCTCAAAGCTGAAAGGTACGGTATCTCCAGGTTTTTTAACAGGTTCCTGATCTTGTGTTAGTTGATGACCGCAACAGAAGCAGTAAAGAGCCCTCGAATACGTCATAAATGCAAGTCGTTGAGTCACATAGGAAGAAATGCCACCTGGCGTCTGTTAAGCAGTCTTTAGGTGGAGCGAGCAGTTCTACATTTTCCCATAATTGCGGGTGTCCTTGGAGCCGGCAATCTGTGTGGATTTAGTCAGGATAACCCAGCTCAAATAACCAGGCCTTGCATGTACATCGACAGCTACCATCCAGCAATCTAGTAAGGAACGACTCAAGGTCTTCGAACCCTTGTCACCTTGCCCAATGCTAATCCAATACCTTGCTGGCAACATTTTCTGTGAAAGTAGCATTAACTGCTTCCTTTTCCACTAACCCTGTTCGTGAGAAGAAAGTAAGCACATAGATAATAGGCTTAGAAGGACACAGCAGTTAATCCTAGGTATTCTGTAAGTAAGTAAAACGAATACAATAGCGCTTTTTGAGGTGATTTTGAGCCACAATCTCAAAAAGCCACGCTTTAAAACAGTATTACGCATTTAGACATTTCGAGTTTTAAGGCCTTCTTTTCTAAGCCCTCATAATATCCTCTACACTACAGCTTTAAACTAAGGACTATGGAGCCATAATCTCCTTTAGTCAACTGAAGTGCACGTGGCTAACATGCAAGTCCCAGAAAGTAATTGATTAGAAGATGTAATCGCTGGGGGCAAGAAATGCATTCGCCTGACGTTTCGAAATCCGTCGCGGATCTGTTTCTGCTAGTGTCTTTGATGAACGATCCGCGACGGATTTCAAAACTTCAGGTGAATAAACTTCTTGTCCCGTCGATCACACCATCTTCTGAAGCACAAGTCTACACGATCACAAACTGTCTTCTTCGGTGGTTCTTCAAAGTCACCTCCGGTCACCTTTCATTAACGCACACACGCCTCACTACGAGTCATAAACCATAGGCATTACTTTATTGGGCTTTGGGTTTCCCTTCCACCTATGCACCAGCTCGCAACTCTACTTCAAATCAGGTCTCCGGTGCCTTTTCTTGATCCAGAAAGCCTTTTTTTATTGTAGGGCATGTCATTTTTTCCCTACAACGTTCCCTCCAACCTGCCCAGTTGAATATGTTTCGTAGCTCGTGTGTACAGCTAGCGTTTGCCGGTGCTAATAGAAAATGTTCCCATTCAGTATTCGTCGCCTTGCATTCCCTCGTATTCACCACAAGACGAAGTTATCTCTGACCATCTTCCCTTAATACACACACCACCCTACGAGTCATAAGCCACAGGCGTTACTTTATTGGGCTTTGGGTTCCCTTTCCACATATGCAGCAGATCGCAAATCTATCTCGAATGAGGGCTCTCATGTCTTTCCTTGGCCCAGAAAGCTTGTCTATTGCTAGAGCGTCTTAGTTTTTCCCCTTCGTGTGTACAGCTAGCGTTTGCCGGTGCCCATAACAAATGTTCTCCTTCACTATCCGCCGCCTTGCATTGCACCTTATTCACCACGAGACGTATTAACGCTTGTCATACGTTTCTCTTTTCCCACACCTCTAGGACGCCCTTAGCTGACTGACGAACTGGTGGACAGATGCGCCCGGGACTCTACCTCCGCACTGCAGGGTCCGCCCTGCGTGTCCTCCTATGCCTTGTCTTTCTGCTCCACTTGCATCACGCCGCGAGGTCGGTCGGTGATTTCCGTCGCTGCGTCGGCGCCATCTGCCTGGGCGACAACACGGAACAGGATGTGGTCGTTGCCGAACGGGTACTAGACGACCTGAACCTGGGCAGCAACGAGCCAGTCACATACGCCCTGCTGCG